CACTGAAAACAGATTCAAGGTGCGCCCCGCCCAGTGGCCCAACCAAAATGTTTGCATAGTCATCAAATGATTGCCAAATTAATGTGTGAAATAACGATGCGATGAAATTGAGATCAGAGGGTGAACTTACAAGGTGTCATGCTCGTCGAAGCACGCTTTAATCGTTTGTTTCACCCGACGTGCCTTTTCCAATTTGTGGTTACTACAAGTTTCTCTACACTTGCGAGGGCGCCAATTTGATTTAGGCTTCAGTAAGAATTGATATACGGACTAATTCATTCATTCAGGGATGGGTAACAGATTATCGTCTTATCAGCGATTTCACTTTTCTTGTTGTTGCTGTGGAAGCCGTTGTCTTGTCTGCTTGGCAGGGCTGACGCTATTGGCCAGAAAACGAAGATAAAGCCATTGCATTTAATATGCATGTCAGAAATTGGAATTGCTCACCTAACAAATATGCCGAAAATTCAGTTTAGTTAAGCACGTCAATATATTCGACTGCTCGCTGTCAGAGTGCAGCGGTAACTGTTTAGCTGAGCGGCCGCACGACGACGCTTCTTCATTACAAATTACAAGTAACGGCCATGTTATTGCGTCAAAACTTTCTTTTGCTCAGCGCTTGTCAATGTATGAGAAATAACTGTATGTTGAGGCCTAGCTGAGGTTGCTGCAGTTTATGTGAAAGAGTTTACAAACCGGTTCCGAAGCGCTTTTCGGCTAAAACTAATTTCAAATTGAAAACAAAACTTGGCCTCAAGTTACGTCAAGTGCATGCCACGAACAGCTGTTGCCGTGCGCACCAGCTGAAAAATTGAAAAATTGAGCTTTTTACCGATATATCGATATTTTTCGTTTATTTCGGTGCTGCCATTTGGCGTATGCCCGCGAATATTTATTTAAATAACTATAAAAAAATGTGCTTCTAATACATAAATACATAGTTTACACAATAACTACTTCCAACCAATGTTGCCGGAAGCATCAGCCGGTGCACTAGCTGTGGGCTGATAGCCTGGTGGTATGCTGAAGCCGAGCACTTCAAAATTATTGCCAACAGCTGGCACAGCTGCAGGTGCTTGGACTGGATATGGCGGCGCCTTTTGAACTCCTGTCGACGGATTTGCTACTGGCGACACAGGATTTGGTGTGTAATTCACTGATGGTGCAGGCAGAGTATCCGCGGCTCTTGGATAAAGACTGGGCAATGGCGACCTAGCATCATTCGCATTTGTCGGCTGAGCACTGAGTATATAGACGGGATAACGTGGCTTATACGTGTTCGACTCGAAGTGTTCTGTGCATACATCCTCTTGGAAGGTGGGTGCAACTAAAGAAAAGATCAAAGAATTATTTTATAATCAAAAACAAGCTTGTATAGGCTGCCTACCCATCACTTGATAGCTGCCGTTCGTGTTAGGCTGTGCCTCTGTCTTCTGTCCCGGCCCTTTGTCGTCTGCACTGCCATGCAATGGCACAGTTCCAATGACCAGTGGAAAATCTACTACCAGATCCCCGCCGCCATGCAAGCGGAATGTTTTGGCAATGAAACGAAGAGTGTAACTAACCCGAATCGGACCTCGTTCGTTCATTGTTGTCGGCGTTGTGGGTGGCACCATTAGAAACTCATCGAATTTCGCCTTATTGTTCTTATCCACCTCGCCACAGTGCTTATCGGCTATACGCACCTCGGTGGTYTTCAATTGCTCCTTATCGCCCGCTTTGCCGCGATAGGTCACGTTCTTGAACAGACGCACCTTCACATCCTGGCACTGAACATCCGCTTGGTTGTCCAGCACGATGTGAAAGTTGATCTTCTGGCCAGGAACATAGGCGCTGTACGAAGTGCTCACGTCCATAACCATGGGCTTGTTACCGCCAAATATGGAGCCCCACCAAAAGGTTTTCTCCTCGATGCGCTTCAAGGGTTGCTAAAAGGTCAAGCACAAGGATTATACCATCTRTAATATTGCCTTTCATGTCAAACCTACCAAATGCTCGGGCTTCGCATTCAAATCGTTTGGCAGTATGACCGTAAAACACTGCTTGAATATATTATTATATCGCACCGCGCGATCTATGGTCAAGGTCACCTCATGTTTCACCTGTCCGTGCGTGCCATTGAAAGAGGTCGGCGCTTGGGGCGGTATAGTGGCCTGAAAGGGAAAGACATACTTGCCCTGGGGCAGCTCCAGTTGTGATCCTCCGCTCTGGCCGTACACATATTTATCGCTGCTGTAGTAGATCTCCGTGGTGGTATACGTCTCCAGTGCCTTGACCAGCTTGCCATCAGCACCAGGCTTTTCGACACTCTCCTGCCAACGCGTCTCCACGAAACCGTTCACGGTTATATAGATGGCTGCAAGAGAGCGAATCGCGTAATTGGATTTAATTTCTTTGTAATAYTATTAAGCTGCACGCCATGTGGGCGGCGCACAGATCAAGCTGCGTTTCCATCGGGTTCAATTGCGTTTAATTCGCAGTTATCTGAACTGACCCTGACTTTTTAGAGAATCAAATTCTATTCGAAAACCAGTCTCGAGCATAATTTTGCCATCATTTATTTCAGGTTAATGCGGAAATACTAAAACTTACCATTCCTTTGACTACTCAAGTTCTTAGCTCTGTTTATTTTTAATTTTTTATGTTTTATGAGGCCTAAGCGAATTGTTCATTTTCAAATCAAAGTACAGCAGCAGCCGAGCCGACTCATTTGCTCAACGGCACGCACACTTTTCGAAGAAAAACTAGTTTTTTCTTCACTCTCGCTACAATATTAAATAACCGACACAGAAACATATATATGGAGATATGTATATTTATATATATGAGGAATAGCTATCGGCTCAATACAAAAGATATACACACATAACAAAGCGAGCAGAAACAACAATAACAAGTAACAAAAAAACAATGACGGCTCGAATACTAATGTAGGGTCTGGCCCCAGGCCCCAGGCCCCCTTCCAGACACCAACCCAGGCCATTTTTGTATGCGGAGTAGGGGGCAACATGACGTCATGCTAGCCACAATCAAATATTATATGCGTGTTTGGGTATAAAGAACTTACAGCGTATGGTTTTGGGGCGCTCTGTGATGAGTTCGGCTGTGCCGGATACGATCTGGCCGGCATAGTAGACGCCCAAGACGCTATCGAAGCTAAAATTCACTTTGCTGCTCATCCTGTCGTGACCTTGGTAACAACAGGC